GTCTCTCTCTTTTCTGCCGTCTGGCGAAAAAAACAGTCTTTCTAAAAAGTCCCCCCCCCCCACTGGCCGCTCTGTCTGTCTGTCTGTCTGTCTGTCTTGCGCACACTCGTGCGCGCGCGCGCGCGTGTGTGTGTGTGAGTGTGTGTGTGTGTGTGTGTAGGGGCGAAGGCTGACTTGTTTGACAGGGTAATCAAAGTAAAACGGGACCAGATATGGCCTGGGGATATCACACAAGAACCTTTCTCGAGGCGGCGACTCAGAGTTGTGAATGAAAACCAATCCGGAATTCATTATTGTATGTTCAACCGCCAAAATAATCGTTAAAGTATCTTATTAAATATCAATTCCAATTAAAATTAAATTTAACTTTAGATGTGAATACACAAACACAAAGCAACGTAGCAGAGATGTCAGTACTAGATCTATATGTTATAGATCTACCAGGGAGTCTAACTCTTTGGTTGAACATGACAATTATCATTTTTAAAATTTCTCATTTGGCTGTTTTTTGTTTAGCCTTTCGCAGCCACGAGCCTGTGTCATAATCGAGGTCACGATCTGATTATAGGGCAGTAAAAAGTCGAGAAGCAGTCGCAGCAGTGAGAGATTATTAGGAGTTAGTTCCCCTCACATTTGTGAGGTAGACTCGACCAGTGTAATAGTTAGCTTACCTAATCAGTGCTTGAGACTGATTATAACTGTGGCCCGAAAGGGGTGAACAGGGTATATGTGGCAATGACTGCTATGCACATGTTCCCTTCATCTCTGTTGGTAGACTCTTCCAGTCTCACTTTAAGCTTACTTAATCAAAGCTTGTGACCGCTTATGGAGTGGCCCAAGAGGGGTGAACAGGCTATTGCAGTGGCAATGAAACCGTTTAGAATGCTAGACATACTGTTCATTGGTGATTATGAACGTCTTTTTACATTTAATTTATGAAGTTTACGTTAATGGGTGAATTTGACTGTGACAATGTTTCAAAATTAGGAAGGGAAGCAGTGATTATTTGATTATATAGACGCTTCGCCTCTGAGTGTGTGTGTGTGTGTGTGTGTGTGTGTGTGTGTGTGTGTGTGTGTGTGTGTGCGTGTGTGTGTGTGTGTGTGTGTGTGTGTGTGTGTGTGTGTGCTGTAGCTTAATGGGTAGGCCTACGGTTTTGAGGGGGCGGGGGGGGGGGGTATTTTATCGATGGGTTTAACAGCCGGCCAGTTCTAAACGTGCCGCCCGTGGAAGAAGTGTTTAAAAAGAACTGAGAGTCCAAGTCGGAGATCAGATGGGAAGATTCCTCTGAAGAAATAGGTGGCGATGGATTGGATACTTTAAAGAATATAATAGGCTACTGAGTTCTACTGAATCAAAACCAAGAGAGCGAAAGTTTAAGAAACCACAAAAGTCGTTTTGAGAACTTTCCAAAGAGGGTTATTAATAGAACTTTATTATACAGATGTGTACAGACTTCAACATAAGGGACCACCTTGACAGCGACAGCCTTGCTTTTTTTAAATCCGAATAAAAAAAGACATCAAGGAATGTTTCCAATTATTTTTGTTCTGAAAGTGATTGGGTTACCAATGCGCAGTGTGAAACGTCTATATAATCAAATAATCACTGCTTCCCTTCATATTGAAACATATTGTGGCAGTCAAATTCACCCATAGACGTCCCCCTAAATTAAATTATGTAAAAAGACGTTCATAATCACCACTGAACAGTAGGCTATGCCTCAGTTAAAATTTCTGGTGCACGCCATAAACGGACGTACGGTCTCGAACTGTGATACTTTGGTGGCTAATTAATTAGCTGTCTTTTGTGCAAAATCCAGCATCGCATCAACTTATATATTTATGCTACCAAGACGAAAGCTGAGATACTGTGATCGTGCCAGAGTTATAGGCATAAAAAAGGGCTGCAGGATGGAGTTGGAGCCCGAGAAATTGCCAGAAGGTTTTCAGTTTCACACTGTCATTGTCCGCTTGAGGCAGCGCCATATCAAGCCACTGCATCAGTACAAGAGCGCCCACAACGTAGGTCGACCCAAAGAGACGACTCAGAATGTTTGCAAGTAGTCCTTATCTTATGTTGAAGTCTGTAAATCCTTAATAGGACTTTCTTTCACATATTGTAGGCCTTGCCCCCCCCCCCCCCCCCAACAAAAAACCCCCCACCAAAAACAACAACAACAAAAAAACAAAAACAACAACAACCAAAAAACAACAACAACAAAAAACCTGTTTCTGAAAACAGAGGTAAAGAAAGCTCAAATCAGATTCACTTGACCTTTACCCAATGAGGTTTTAAGTCGTTCACCTATGGCAGAGGATAATTAACATGGGAGTTCAAGGAAACACGCTTTTCACATTCGTGCTTGGACGCAGTTGACAAGAATTGAATATCGATTATTAACAGCCATGTCATATTTTTTAAAAAAATATTATTGTTTTTAATATAAACTTGGGTACCGGTAATTATGTCTAAATTTGCAAAAGGCACCGACAGCTAGAATGAGTAATGTGCTCTCAACGTTGTGTTAATTAAAAAAATGTATTTACATTTGACTATGATACATCTTGTTTGATGATGTTGTATGAGTAATTATTATTATTATTATTTTTATTATGATTATGATTATGATTATGATTATGATTATGATTATGATTATTATTATTATTATTATTACTTGTAATTAAAGTTCCCGTTCTACGAATGGAATAATAATGAATTATTTGGAAAGTTAAGAAGAGGAAAAAGACTGAAAACAGGAAAGAAACAAAACATTTAATATTTTACCTTGAATTTATCCATGTAACACCCCCTCTTGGTAAGACTTCTTCTCCCTCTTCGAAGGCGTGGCATTTTCTTCTAAAGCTCCAGCTCAATCACTTTTTTTAAAAAAGAGTTCGGCCTACATGCCAATTGTTGCTTCCTAGAAGAACCTAATCTAGATTCTAGATCTAGCCTAGATATCGAAGGATTATAAAAACATTGATCTAGGCCAACAATTGAAGGAAGGAGCCTGGGCCCATAGATAGATCTAAGTTTGGAAATTCACATTTTTAACAACCGACAGGCGTCACAGATGGCCTAGATTTCTAAATCTATTCACAGTAGGAAAAATCTACTTTCAAGAATACTTCCATGATTCTTGATCTCGATCTAGATTCACCTACAGCCTAGTTCTATACTCTAGATCTATTCACAGCAGGACAAAATCCACGTTCAATACTTTCATCATTCTTGATCTCGATCTAAGATTCACATAGATCTAGCCTAGATCTAGATTTTTAGATCTTAGAATCTATAATGCTCAGCAAGAAAAATACACTTTCAATATTCAACAGGTTATCGAAATATCACAGATCTAAATTATACTTTCGTTTCGTGATTCTTCTTGATCTCGATATATCTCGATACATTAAGTAGGCCTACGGTAGGCTAGACTACGCTTTCGACACCCTCCCTGTCACTCACCACCCTCCCTCTGGTAGTGCTTTCTGACCTCGTCTCTCTCTCTCTCTCTCTCTCTCTCTCTCTCTCTCTCTCTCTCTCTCTCTCTCTCTCTCTCTCTCTCTCTCTCTCTCGCTCTCTCTCTCTCACTCCCTCCCCCCTCTCTCTCTCTCTAGGTAGGTTTTCATCCGTTTTCCCCCCCCCCCCCGAAGCGTGAAAGACACAAGAGCGACCTCCATCTCGTTCTCGATCTCTATCTCTCCTCCCT